ATGATGACCAGAAACCGAAAACTTAAAGCAGTTTCAATTTTTGGACGTAAATTATAGCAGTAATTAACATACTACTATAAACCCCCGAGGTTTTCGAAAAGTATTAAAAAACAATGCTCTATAGAACTTAAAGAACGCAGAAAAAACGAGCTCAAATCCATCACGGCTTGCGAATCTCTCATTACAATTCCAACAACCAATCGACCCTCTTAATTTTGACACCCTTTAAATTGTCTATGATATGCAAAGACCAACCTACTTGATCCCCCCCACCCCTCCTCTTGTTAAAAATCTAGGCGAAAAATTAAAGAAATTTAAATGCAAACTTAAAGCTACCGTTACATCAACCCTCCAGCAATTGCGCTTTTGAAATAAAACTTCTCCTATAAACTGGCACCGGTTTCTGCAAAATTCATACTTGCATATAGCAATCGTCAGTTGCAAAGATTTTAACTCTTGTAGTATACCAAAATTTTTTGTTTCTGTGCAAAACTATGGTTAGATGGCCCTTCAATTGTATTATAAAAATAAATCCCATTCCTCTTTTTGAGTTACGTTTTTAGAAAATGTCTCTATCGGGTACAGAAATTCTCCTTCGTGTGGGTTGCAATCTACATTAAACATTTCCGTGTTTTTTTTGGATAGATTTTGATTAAGTAAAGACCACCGACCAATTTATACAATTCAAAAAGAGAAAGTAACTTACATATATCGCTGATACTGGTGTTTTTATTTAGGTTAAAAGGAACACGGCTATCCCTTGAAAAGACTCCCTCCAAGAAAAATTGAAAACAGGATCGCTTGTTGAACTTTTGTGGCTCATTCCCATTCAAACTGCGCCAAAATGCTCCAAAACGTAAATCGAGATCACCGAACTCGCTAATTTCTTCGATATTTGAGGTTTTTCGTTATGCCACCTTAAATGCGACGTTGTCCTACTCCAATTCAGATCCACAGACGCTTTACGAAATTTGCGCGAACGATTTTTGAAACTCTGGAAACCCTCATGGTCGCAAGCTGAGCTCTAGAACTCGCACGCTATTGCGATCGAAGGCTTATCTCGGCAAATTCGCCCGAAACGGGACAAACGTTAGCGCATTTTTTATCCACAGATTGATACTTTCTGAAAGCGCAATAGGCTTGTTTGCCGATGCCGATATGAATAAAATATAAAAAATCGATACAAGGGAAAATCTTGACTATAATAAAAAATGCAATACACAAAATCTTGCAGTAAGGTGTAAAGGTAACCATATCGGTGAAATAAACAATTTAAAGGTCTCATTAAGCAAGATATAAATCTTAATTATCTTATTTATTTGTTTATAATTAATTAATAATTATTTTATAACAGATAATTGTTATCACTCTGCACTTGTAGTAAAATTTATAACAAACGAGCGTAAAATCACTACTTATCAATTCGGCGTCAATGTTGGAACTTACACTAAATACTATTGTTGAGCATTATTTTGAAGGGCGGACCATTTTCGGGGGTACCCATCATGGTACCTCGAAGTGCAGGAGAGAAAATAATCAGATCTAATAGTAACACTGGCATGATCCCAAAAAACTTAAATATGACCTAACCTCACAAAACGGAGAACTTAAAACGCTACAAACAAAGAAACAGGATATGAAAAAAACACGAAAAAAGGCAAAGATATAGGAAATGAAGAAATAGGGATAAGTAAAACCAAGAGAAAGGGCGGAGGAAGCATGTACTTATCAAACAAACACATACTATACTACTCGGGAGAGAAACTGGAACAAAGGACAAAGGAGGAAGTAGGAATAATAGTTACAGAGGAAATGAACAAAAGAACAAAGGATTTTAATGCAATCAACGGAAGAATAATAGCAATCTACAACAAATACTAGATGAATTGAAAGAAGAAAATGAGAGGACAATGATAATAGGAGACTGGAATAGTAGAGTAGAAAAGGACTACAACAGAGGAATGGGATATGTATGGGAATACATGGGGAAGATACACTAAATAGAAATTAAATAAAAATGATAAACTTCTACAAAGAGAACGACCTAATAATGCGAAAAACAATGTGGAAACAGCCAATAGAATACAAATACGAAACGATAAACGCTTGATAGACTACGCAATATATACACAAGAATTAACAGGGACAATACAAAGAATTAAAACGATAAAAGAATTAAGAATTAGTTAAGAACAATATTACCGAGTAAGACTAAGCAACAAGGAAGAAAGAACACATAGTAGTTCAGCGATAAGGAAAACAAAGAAAAATACCAGGAGACAGATTTAGAAAATTGGAGAAAGGAAAACCAGACTGGACCTTAGAAGACAGATGGATAACTTTCAATGAGATACTGTTGAAGATAACAGAGAAAGTATGTGGGAAGAGAAAATACAGTAAACACGCCAAAAGGACGAGGTGGTGGAATAGCGACATACAAAGGCTGACAAAAGATAAGAAAACAGCATGGAAACAACAAAGAGGAGTATATTCGAAGGAGAAACACGGTAAAAAAGGGAATTCAAAAAGAGCAAAGAAAGAATCTTGGAAGGAGTTTGGGGAAGAGATAACAGAAGAACACAGAACAGACTATAGGCGAGAATAAAAAGATTAAGGGGAGATAAAAGGAAAGAAATAAGCAGGGACAAACACGAACAGACACAAAAGGAATACTCGAAACAGAGATTACACACGACTGAGATCGAAGACGAAATAACAAACGAAGAACAAGTGGAACAGGAACAAAAAATTAAGAGAGAAGTCGAAGAGGCAAAACAAAAAATCAAAATTGGAAAAGAAAGTGGAGAAGGTGGCATTGCACCGGTGATGATTAAATGGCTGGGGGAAAAAAGGAATAGAATAGATATGGGAGGTCTGTAAAGAAGAAAAAATACAACAGAGAGAAAGAGGGAAGAAGGAGAGGGAGTATATCTAACTTTCGTAGATCTAAAGGCGGCGTTCGATGCTGTAGATAGGAGACAAGTATGAAAACCCCTGAGGGAACTGGATGTACTGAACAGATTGATAAACGCAGTAAGAAGTACAAATGAAGCAGTAAGAGCAAGGGTGCAAATTCAAAATGAATAAGGGAATAAAACAAGGAGACAGCATAGGTAAGCCCTTTACTTTTTATCATTATTATGGACAAAGTTACTAAACAAATTAAAGGAAAATATAATACCGTCATTGGGTACAGGAACCTAGAAGCAGTTAAAGTGAGCAACGCAGACAAATAAATGCAAAATTTAGTAAACGCCTGTACTAAAGAAATTGAAAACGTGAAAATGGAAATAAACACAAACAAAACAAAAATAATGATCGTAAATGAAAAATAAACAGACACCCAGATCGACATAGAAATCAAATGCAAGAATAAATTATTGGAAAGGGTAACAACATACGAATTTTTGGGAAGTATAACAACGGATGATGGGAAAATAGAAGGGGAGCTGATAAATCAACAAGAATACATTACATAAAAAACACAAAACTAGGCCATAAAAATATAGACATAGGGGTGAAAAGAAAAATACATAATGTAACAACAATACTGTACTGAATTTTGTCAGTGCAAAAAATAATTTGGTTCGCGATTTGATGAATAAATTTTAATTGCAACGAATACAACTTTTTTTATTGACAATTCCAACATAATTGTTCATATAACTTGATTATTAATAATTTTAAATGTATATAAACTGAAAAATTGCAACAAATACCAAACATTAAATACGCCTATGAAAGCAGGACACTAATGAAAAAAAGATGAAAGTAAATGCTATAGAAAGAAAAATTGCTGGAAAAACTAAATGGGACAAGGTAAGAAATGGCATGATTAGAGAAAGAGCAGAAGAAGAGCCAATAACGGAAAAAATATTCGCGCATATACTAAGGATGCAGCCAGACAGACTTACAAGAAGGATAATGGAGATGGGAAAATCAAGGAAGAAGACCAAGAAGAAAATGTGTGGACCAAATTCGAGACATAGGGATGGAAAAAGGAAAAACTGTAGAAGAAATGAAAATCCTAGCAAAAGACAGGAATTGGATACAGCACAAGAAACCCGCATCCGACGCCTGAAAGGGATAAGGATCAGAGTTGAAGAAGAAGAAGAAGAACTTATTATTAGTCTTCTACAATACACAATCTTTCACCTAACTGTTTACTGTTACTATCTCTATGGATTTGTACAAAAATTCGGGGAGTCTGGCATTTGTGCATTTGCTTTAAACAAGTTTCTTTGAATTTCTGAGGAAACTCGAGAAAATATTGTTTTGACATTGAAAGTGCTTCAAATCTAATCATATTTGTTTTGTATTAATCTATCTGTGTCAAGTTACGATGACGGGTAGTGCTGTGATTTTGTAAACCTATAAACACACTTCAACGCTTTTAGCATCCCTTATATTATTTGCCATTTTCTATACTTTGCCCCAAAGAAGTGCTTGGAGACCGATGATTAAGGTAACGAAATGGTGGAAGCTCCAATTCCAGCACCAAATCCCCAGTAACCCCTAAGTAACATTAAGAATATTCAATTCCACATTCCCACCAGAATTACTAACGCTAAGGGGTGGTTCTTAAAATGCTCTAATTTTTCATTCGCTTTTTTGGCATCTGGTTTTGGGTAATTTTACAAGTTACTTTACTCGTCGCTTTGCTCGTGATTTTGATAAGCTTTGTCCCTGCTGGTGGTTGAGAAGAAGATAATCAGCAGTTCGTAATTCTGCACTTTATACGGTAGTGTACCTAATGCTTAAGTGTTGTTTTAATCTTGGATCGAATGCTTGGCGGGGAAACAGGTCCGTTCTAAAGTTTGAAGGAAAACCAACTGCAGAGGGTGCTCATTTGTTGTGTATTTTGGAACTTAATAATTTTTCCTTCTCAAAAAGCCTATATCAACGAAATACTGACTTGTTTACTTTATTGATAACAGCACTTGAATTTTCAAATTGATAAATATATAGGTACCCTTGAATTGCGTTAAGATAAGCGTATTTTTAAATCGACAAAAATGTACCTTTACACGAGATTTAGCTCCAAATCCGCAAACACGTGTGTCTCCTCAATGAAACAAATAAACGTCTTGGTGTGCCTTTTACTCCACTTTTTTGGAGAAGCGTTTGCCGCAATAGACAAACTGCATCAGATCGAATTTGAGACGCTCATTCGCGAAGACACCTTCGAAGGTTTGCACGTGTCCGAAGCATGTTCGAGTCAATTGAATAAGTATGCAAAAGACTTGTCCAATATGCAGACCTGGGCGCTCAAAAGTAGGTAAGAAGGTACAAGAGTCGGATGCTAAAGGGGTGTTTTAGTGTTCGACTCGTCGGGTCAGGTTCCAGCGGGAGTGATCGGAGGTAACTACTACGAGCTGGGATCGTTTCAACAATGCCTAAAGATCGCAGAAGGTTCAGGGAAAGATACGATTTTTGGAAAGTACTGCATGGGGAAACTTACGGTGTCTGTTAAGGTATGCAAGTAGATCTTGGTTTGATGAATGACACGTGTGCTGATTTTCAGAACGTGACAGAAAGTGTGATTAACCTGGGAGTTTGCATGCCAAGAGCGTGTAAGGCAAAAGAAATCCAAAGTTATTATAAAGATATTAAAATGCTTATTAACGAAGATACTTGCCAAACTGAAGAAAATCAACCCAAGCTGGACTTTAACGCTCAACTCGCTTTGTATGTGCTCATGTGAAAAAACACAGTAACCGATGAAATTTTCAGGGCGTTCCTGGGACTTTGGGCTTGCTTGATAGTAATTTCTACAGTTTACGATATGATCATGCAAAGTTTAAACAGGGGTTCGTGGTTTAGAAGCTACAATCAGTCATAATCTAAATTTTTTTTAGCACCAGCACATTGGGCTCTCGTTTCCTTTTCGTGCTACACAAACGCAAAGAGGCTTAGTGATACAACAGTAAACCAAGAGGATATCTCGTGTTTGCATGGACTCCGAGTGATTTCCGTGATGTTGGTTATTATGGCACATCACCAGACCCTCATTAACAAACTACCTATTCAAAATGGGAACTTCATCAAAAAAGTAACAGGCACCTAATGATAACTTGACTCCTCACGTTGTTAATTTTAGTTTTTCTACTCGCACGTTTATCCGATAGTTTTAGGAGGAAATAATGCCATAACCACATTGTTTTTTATGAACGGATTAATATTGTCGTATATTTTCATGGTAAATTCGAAGCAGAAAGCGAAGTTCAGTTGGGTCGCATTCTACGTACGTCGATATCTTAGCTTAACGCCAACGTTGGGGGTCATTATCATTCTGCATGCCTTTCTGGTGAGGCATTTGGGTTCTGGCCCACTGTGGCCTCCTATCGTTAACAAATTATCAGATCCTTGTACGAAATATTGGTGGACGGCTGTATTCTATATCCAAAACTTTAATTTAGGAAAACCTATGGTAAGTTGATATTCACTCTGTCTGCGTGAATTTCGTCCGCCTAAGGTCTTGAGATCTCAGCACTCAGACCTCGCAAAAAGTTTGTCGAAATTAAAACTAAAATGCGATATCATTTTTAGTGCGTGGAGCAGTCATGGTTCCTCTCCGTGGATATGCAGCTCTACGTGCTCTCACCGTTACTACTGCTGACATTGTTGAAAAAACCAAAAGCGACATTATACGCAACAGGATGTCTTACACTCTTCTGCATCGGATTGAGCTATCTTTCCACGTTGTTCTTTGGCAAAGACTCGATTAATTTGTAAGTCGCTACTTTCGTAATACAACACGCTCTTTTATGTGTTTTAGGCCGTTTCATAAGCCCAAGGCGCCGTATGCTGTCGCCCCGGCGTGGCTAATGGGAATTATTTTGGGCTACTTCGTTTACAACACCAAGAAGTCTGCGATAGTTTTAAAAAAGGCAAGTTTGGTCTTTAAAAGTGACATGGATTCTATTTTTTGTGTAGGTTCACGTTATGGTCCTCTGGGCCGTTGCCATTGCTATCATTTTAGCTTGTTCATGTTTGAGGTTCAGCAATAGGTCACTGGAAACGGCATGGGACAGTGCACTGCGTCGCCCTCTATGGTCGCTAGCACTGGGATGGGTCGTTTTTGCTTGTCACTTCGGATATGGCGGTGAGTAGGCATTCAACATTTTACCTTCCTAGTCCCTTACTTCAGGTATAGTCAATGGATTTCTATCAAGTGCAAAATTCAGACTACTGTCCAGGATATCATATAGCGCCTTCATATCACATGTCTTTGTTCAAGCCATAGCTCTCGAAGTGTTCCAGATGATGCCCGTTTGGGACACTGGCTTCATGGTATCGTCGACTAATGTCATAAACTGTATACATGATTGTATGATTTCAGTTAAAAACGTTGTGGATTAATTATGTTATGATCTTTTTCTTCTCTGTTGCATTAACGCTGGCATTTGGATCTCCAGTAGATTCAATTTCAAATAAAATATGGAAGACGCCTACAGGTGAGTATGCATTCGCTTATGATCTTTTTAATTTTTAATTTTAGGTAAAGTTCGTAGCACAAGGGGGTCAAAAACAAAGTAGCCCGTCGCGGGAGACTGTCCGATTCTTACCTCTGACTATTTGCGAAATCAACACATTATACATGCGTTTATTATACCCGAAATATGATTTAAAAATAAGGGAAATAAAATAAAATCCTATCGAATTTAACTCTAATACGTTTCTGATTGAGTGGGCGGCTTTCCTCGATTGCCACGGAAATGTCACTTAAAGTGGTTTGTTGCAGAAGCAGAAAAAAAGTTGCTACCTACAAAATACAGTAGGTAAATCCTACTGTAAAGAATAAGAAAAGTTGAAACTCTTGTTGCGCGTGTTTCATTATGGTGTTCACAACGAACTTGGTATCATTAATAACTATTTTTGTGACGCCCAATAATGGAACAATCAAGTGAGGTGTTGGTGTGAACAAACGGTGACATTAGGAGATAATCTGTTACTTCTCTAATTCGAGTGTTTGGAGTAGTTTCAATTACCAAGGCAGGGGCGTGGTATTCTGAAAGTAGGAAGTAATACCATTATGTACCTAATTTCATAAAAAAAGCAAATGAAGAAAAAAAGAAATTTCGTATTTAGTTGGACAGTAAATGGTAATTAGGCACTAGCCTGTTTATTTCAGATAGTAAATAAACATAATGGCATACATAAACACGCTTGCGAGCTTGCTTTGACATATAAATCGCTAACGGGTTTGTGTGGATTTAGATGAAATCAAATTTAATTTCAAATAAAATGAGTGTGCAATTTTGTATGTCGGTATTATACTCGTTTCAGCGCATTCTCTCAATAGTTTAATTACCTTTGGTCTTAATTCTTTAATTTAAAAACATGTCTTTTGAGCATTACGAAACTCGCACAGAATATAAATTGAGGGAATACTATTATAGTTAGAAAACCCATTTTGAGATATTTTTAGCGAGATATATCAGAAGCGCGTACTGTTCGTATTGTCTTGTAAAATTATGTTCTCTGATATTTAGATAAATAAAAATAACAAACCGTTATATGTTATGTTTGGGGACTGTAAAGTTGAAATGATGGAAATATGTCAGGTAAAAAGAAACAAACTTTGGCAAGACATCAAATGGTTTAAAATACTACAGACGGACCGTAATAAATGTATGCAGTTATAACATACACAAGCTTAAAATTTAAGATCAATTCCTGTCGTAATACCCACAATACGAATTAGTTGTGGATTTCCTACTGCTTTCTGTACATGTTTTAGTATTTTTTTAGGTGATGACATATTGGTAACTTGTGTGGCAATTTACATCACAATTATTGCAACATTATTAATTTTATTATCTGCACTGTGTATCGTTGCGCGTTATAAATGTATCGAAATGAATAAAATTGAATACCGGGTTGTTATCCTACTTAATTTAAGACACCCTGTATAATTATAATAATTATAATTATAACTCCTTATGAAATTATTTAGGAGCTTGACTTGTTTTCGGTTAGAATTTAATTGAAATGTAGTTGCGGTTCTTTTCATAAGAATGCAAGGTTGATTCATTTTGTGTGCCAAAGATTTTATACTGATTGATTTATTTTCAGAACGAAAATTTAAGTAAAAGAAGTTTTATTTCAACGTACTTCATAAGTGTACAGCAGTTTCAGCAGCGTTTTATGTTTCTCCAACGCCATTGCGGCAAATTATTAGCACTGAATTTTAATTATCTGTGTTATTTAAAAGTCAATTTTATTATGAAATATTTAGGGATCGAACAAATAATTTAAAAATCCCGAAAATTAGGCACTTAACATGTCTGATAGAACTAGTGGACTAATGCAAAATAAGGAAAACTGAAGGATAATGAAACAAAGATTTCCATAAATAACGACATAACAATGAATTGCACAAGAAGAGAGAGATAAAGGAATAAAAGTCGTCAGAATGGACCCAAGGAAAGTATGGATAAATAATGTGGAGTGTAAGTGGAATTACATAACGAAAGAGTAGAAAAAAGATAAAAACGATTAACCAACTGTAGCGAGGAGAGGAATGACCAGGCAATCAAAAAGAATATGATTTATAACAGGAACATAAGAGACATAGAACTGAAAACTAAGGAAAACATTAAAAAGAAGTAAGAAAGCGACGCCAGAAGGGCCAATCGAAGATGGAGACGTGAAACGTGAGAGACGCCCATGGAGAAGGAAAATTAAAACACTGAATTAGAGAAATTAGAAAATTCCAGTATGACATAGTGGCCTACTTGGAAGAAACAAAATAGGTAGGGAGCTGAAACAAACAACAGAAGCAAAAGACATACCAAAAACAAAGGAAGAAGGTAAAAAGGATATTATAACAAAAGAGAGGAAATACATACATGGAGACACAAGGTACAAGAAAACTACCAAATAATCAGAAACCTTTACTAAGGAGTACGAAACTTGTATAAATGGATATTTTTTTTAGAAACCAACTCAGAGGAAAAAAGTGAGCGCTACTTTTCCCGAACCGACGAAACAAAGAACAAAATTCGGGATTAATGGATAAATTTCTAAAAAGAAACACAAAAGAAATAGAAAGCGCTGAAGCATCAAGCACTGAGGAAAGCACAAAGAGAAAGGAAACAGAAAATGGTACAATAGGGGAAGAAAAAGCGTTTAAAAAGAGTCGATGGCTTCAAAGAACTCCGCAAAAAGGAAAAGGAAAAGAAGAAGAGAAAATTAGAAATGATGAGTGAACTCACACACGATATCAAAAAAATAGGAAAGGATCAAAAGAAGAGCAATCAAGCAAGCGAACTACTTCTAGCGGAAAATAAACTAAAAACAGAAAACATCAGCTTAAAACAGGAAAATATACAAACAGAGAAATCATTATAAGAAGTGAAACAATAGAAATAAAAGAGGAACAACAGGAAAAATGTAGTAGTAAATGGAATTACAATCGACACATATGACCGAAAGTGCTACAGGAAGATATCTGTAAGTAATATTAATAATCACTTAGGAATAGGGGTCAAAATAAAAGAAGCCCTCAAATTAGGTCTGATACAGAGCTGGGCAGAATACTTTCAAAAAGTATTTGAATACTAAATAGTAAATACTAACTACTTTTACGTCCAGCACAAGCGAATACTAGATACAGATACATTGAAAAGTATTCAAATACTTTCAAAAATAAGTATTCAAATACTTTAGAATGTATTCGAATATAGTATTCGAATATAGTATTCGAATATAGTATTCGAATATAGTATTCGAATATAGTATTCGAATACTTTCAAAAGTATTCTAATACTATGAAAGGTATTCGAATACTATAAAAAGTATTCGAATACTTTGAAAAGTATTCGAATACAGTAAAAAGTATTCAAATACTTGTCACTCAAATACATTAAAAATTTAAAATAGTATACTAGATAAAAAATCAAGTTATACTTTGTATGGGGTTAGCTTTTTTATATTTCTATTGTTATATACAAATTTAAGGGGAGTAAAAGCGTATTATTATTATTATATTATTATATAGGAGGTACCTACCAGGACCTTTCTTACACCAGTTTTATCCTTAAGAATACGTGTAACAGTTTTCAAAGCGATCGTACGTCGTGCACATGATACGTACGCCTTTCTGAAATTAATCCTAGTGATTTTGGAACAGATCCATTTTTGACCATCCGTTTGTCCGTGTGCATGATAACTTGTTTAGAAACGTGCGATCGCTTTGAAAATTGGCACACATGGTCTTAAGGATATAAGAAAGGTCCCTATTGTTTTTAAGTTACGTAGACTATCGAGTTCGGTATTCAGATGTATCGGATTTTTATATTTGATTTTGTGACAATGGAAACTTTTCCTAAACATTTCTAAATTGTTCTCAAATATTTGAATTTGAGGCCGGAAGAAAATAGTCTGAGATCGACCGGGAAAAAACATTTTCCTATAGAATTTGCCCGTAGAATCCATAATTTCAAACAGTTTGAAGATTGGGCTACTAGATCAAAAGTAACAGCCCTTTGAATTTTCTTTCGAAATTGGTTTCTAGTCTATAACTTTTGATTGAGAAGTCTGATCGAAAAAGTACGAATTGTTTTGGATTCTACGCACCAATATTAATAAGAAAAAGTGTTTTCCCGAGAAATTTTGGTGCAGTCGATTTTTGGTAAAAAAGGAAGGTTATACACTGCCTTTTTTTGAGGCCCGAAAAAAAATTGTCTCATATCGACCCGGAAAAAAATTTNCTTTGAAATTTTTTTTGAAATTGGTTTCTAGTCTATAACTTTTGATTGAGAAGTCTGATCGAAAAAGTACGAATTGTTTTGGATTCTACGCACCAAATTAATAAGAAAAAGTGTTTTCCCGAGAAATTTTGGTGCAGTCGATTTTTGGTAAAAAAGGAGCCCAAAAAAAAATTGCCTCAGATCGATCCGGAAAAAAAATTTTCTTATAGAATGTGGCCTGTAGAATCCATAATTTCAAACAGTTCCAAGATTGAGCTACTAGTTCAAAAAGTTACAGCCCTTTAAATTTTTTTTCGAAATTGGTTTCTAGTCTATAACTTTTGATTGAGAAGTCTAATCGAAAAAGTACGAATTGTTTTGGATTCTACGCACCAAAATTTATAAGAAAAAGTGTTTTCCCGAGAAATTTTGGTGTAGTCGATTTGGTAAAAAAGGAAGGTTATACACTGCCTTTTTTTGAGCCCGAAAAAAAAATTGTCTCAGATCGACCCGGAAAAAAATTTTCTTATAGAATGTGGCCTGTAGAATCCATAATTTCAAATTTCAAATACTATAATGCGAAGTATTCGAATACTTCTCAAAGTATTCAAATACTTTGCGAAGTATTCGAATACTAAATATTTGTGAAAGTATTTGAGTTACAAATACAAATACTGCTTTCATAAAAGTATTTAATTACAAAGTATTTGAATACTTTAAAGGATTTGAATACTAAAAAGTATTTACAAAATCCAATACTGTCCAGCTCTGGTCTGATAGAACTGGGCTGGAGGATCAAGAAGAAAGGAGTAATGTAATGCAAAATAAGGCAAAACTGAAGGATAAAATTTTTCATAAAGAAATATAAGAAGAATCGCACAAGAAGAGAGAGAGATAAAGGAAATGTCGTCAAAGTTGGGCCAAGAAATGTATGGAGTGGACGTGGAATTACAGTAAAGAAAGTGTGGAAAA